TGAGCAAATCAGTGCTGGCCTCACGTAGAAAAAATATAACCAACCGCCATACCCTATTCCAGTTGACTAGAGTAACGAAAAGGGGTTTGTCTACAGACAACTACTCAATTCTGTTGCTATTCACTATCGCCGCATGCGCTGGATGGAAAATTATTCATTGTGATGTCGAAATAATTATGGTGTTTCGGGCCAATCACCCATCGTCGGCACCAGACGTATGTAATCAAGCACGCTCAGGAGGTCATGATGGCTGAATCTTGCCCGAGCCTGCAGCCCAAGGGCCGTAGGCCCGAGGGCTGCAGGCAAGGGCAAGATTCAGCCATCATGACAGGCAGAGCGTGCTTGATTTGATTTCTTACATCGCGAAGCAACATATTAGGGAAGGTCGAAAGGTCGAAAGGTCGAAAGGTCGAAAAATTATTCCCGAAATGACGTCAAACGGTCCGAACATTCCCGAAATGACGTCAAACGGTCCTGAAACTCCCGAAATGACGTCAAACGGTCCTGATGGCCTGATTATGCCCGCGGCGGGAAGATCGCCTATTGGTCATGGCCCCGGCAACGATCGCGTGTCATGTAAGAATAGAGAACTCTGAAAGAATGATTTCAGAATGAACTCGGATGGAGAGGCATGGATAAATTTATAGAAAATAAAAAGGACCAAGGAACTACAAGTTGTTCAATAATATCCACCTCCAGTTACTAAACAATCAGCTCATGCGATAACATTGCACGACACCGACCGATGGTACTGACGTTCTACAACTAACTTGCTATTCCAAGTTGGAAGGCTGTTGGAGTGCGCATCCAAAATGTGCTAAAGCTGTTAGCCAGTTAGTTGTAGAACGTCAGTACCGTTGGTCAGTGTCCTGGCAATTTAGACCGTTGTCATTAGGTTTAGGCCTGTTTAGGAACTCCACTCTAACTAATGCCAAACAACAACAATTTTATCGCATGAACTGGTTGTTTAGTAACTGGTGGTATTAGTGGACATTATAGCGTAATTTGTAGTTCCTTGGTCCTTTTTCTTTTCTATAGATATAATTATGGGTGGTTGTTGTTTGATGATGCCCGAGTCCAACTGAACGTGTCACAAGTCACCTGGTGATTGCGTAGAGCAAGAATTTTGGAGTTGCGACAAACTCAACCAAATCTCCTTTGTGCCTTTTGTGTGCAGTGGTGCTCCACACTATCGTGTCTAATGCTCTGGTGTTATTTGGACTACAGAGGTTGACATCGCCGGTGGATCATGCTATTTAGATTACTTGATGACAATACGTCAGGAGAAGAGGACATTTAATACGTACGAGGAGGCGATCAGCCTGGGCCTGAAGGACAAGACCAAGCGAGCCTGCGGGGACACCATGAATGACAGTAAGGTAGAAGTTCAGGAGGTTGAAGCAGATATATGAGCTGGAGAGCTGATGCTTGTTTGAGCCTACTATTGTGTGTGTGTGTGTGTGTGTGTGTGTGTGTGTGTGTGTGTGTGTGTGTGTGTGTGCGTGTGTGTGTGTGTGTGTGCGTGTGTGTGTGTGTGCGCATGTGTGTGTGTGTGTGTGTGTGCACGTGTGTGTGTGTGCATATGTGTGTGTGTGTGCGTGCGTATGTGTGTGTGTGTGTGTGTGTGTGTGTGTGTGTGTGTGTGTCCCATATGGTGCAGTGGTATGTGCAGCGATTTCCAATCGATAGGTTGCGGGTTCGATTCCCGACGATTATGGTCACACACGTCTTTCTTCTCTTTCTCAGACTCTTCCTGACTTTTCTTTCATTCTCCTGGGTGGTTACCAACAGCCAGTACATGCCGGAGTATGTGGTGTGATGTGTGTGCGGGAAAAAAAAATGAAAAGACCAAAAATAGGGATTCACTGGCCAGAAAAAGTCACTTCAAATAGCTGTATGGTGTAGACCAGGCTGAATAGTGATGGTCAATTCTTCAGCCTTGCAAGCTGTTGAATGGTGCAATCCCAGCACAAGTTGCTATGGCTTCTGCCGTAGCATTGCTATCATCGCCTCCGGCGATGGGCGTCAAAGGTCAAAGGTCAAAGGTGTGCCCGTGTGCTGAGAAGTGTGCGCTTGGCTCAACTATGGCAAAAGACGAACTCTTTTCGAGGAGAAATCTTTCGGAGCCTCATGAGAAGATCATCTGCCTTAAATCATCTACCATAGTGCATTTTCTCCCACTCTAATTTGATCACGGTGGCTTGGTGTTTTATTTTGCAAATCCAAGCGGGAGTTTTTTCCCAATAGCAATTTAGCGAAAAAAACATAGGTATAAGGGCAGGGAAGAGTTGTATGTAAAATAATATGTGTACGCATGTATGCACTGGAAATAATTTCCATGTCATAAAGCTGCTGAACATCAGTTCTTTGCCAAGCAGCCATGTTTGTGTATACCAAG